TGCACAATCATTTTCCCAGGATTTGTCAAAAGCGAAAGCTCGTAAGAGGAGGGATCTTGCTCCACTGGCTGGATTATGCAGTAGAGCCATGTTTCCTACCAAGTTTATAGAGAATCAGGAAATGGAAGAAAAAGCAGTGTTCAATGTTGGCAGATGCGCTTACTTTTATATTGAGAGAGTGAGAAGCAGCTATAATTACTGACTGCAAACATTCACCCTCTTGAAGGAACTTTTAACTGCTTACATTTGCTGGCAGTAGCACGGTTTTCTCTATGATGGGGAAGGGTTTACTCCTGCAGCCAGTAATTACAGCAACTTTGCACTCCCCCTCTTCCAGAGGAACTGAAAAGTTGGCAGCACAGGGCACAACATTAAGGCAATTAAGTACTTACCCAAAAGAGCCAAAGGGAGGATCCGTTTTCAAGAAGTCTGAGAAACAGTGCACGTCTGCTAACTTCCAGAAACCGGGAAATGGCCAGCAACATGACAGCTCAGCTCCAAACTTGCAGCTCCATTCAAGGGACACAAGCTTGAAGCAGAAGTAAGATTAGCAACGGGTCTAAGCCTCTGGAATAATTTGAAACACAACACACAATTTAATTCTCAGCCCGTGGAGAAACTGCACTATGGAAAAGACCCGGCGGGTGAGATGCTAAGCTGAGTTTAGGCTACTACCGTAATGCAGTCGACCATTAAATCTGGCCCTTGGGATCTGAGAACCATGGCTAATCAGTGGTGGAACAAAATAAGACCTGCAGTGAAACAAAAGTGAAAGTATTAAAAAATATATTTTAAACTGAAATTATACTTATGTGAACTATTTTATAACTAATCCCAATTTAACAATGCCAGACTACCGCTTTCTCTTGCATGAAATAGTTCCACATAATTTTTCCATTTTCGGTGCAGCTTGTACTTTTATGGAAGGCTTTTCCTTTTCCTGATGCGTATACTGGAAAGGGATTTTATTGCATAGTCATGTAAGGAAGTATTATCACAGTGGGCATGCACAGAGAATGCAGTTTTAACTTCTTAATTCACCACTGTTTGTTTGCTTTTCATTCAGTATGAAACTGTTAACCTTTAAAAAAACATAACCAAGAATATGGCTAAATATTTATTTTCATAATCTCATATTTCACATATTTGCAAGTTCAGTACTGAAATACTATCTAATGCAATGCCTCAGCCAAAGTGGATGTGGCAGACGTTTTGTTTCTTTTTTATTTGATGCCCTTTTCCCCATTGACATTTATGGATGATATGAATCTGAAATTAGATGTGCAAAAACAAAAGTATGGATATTTTAGCCCTTTTAATTTTGCCATTAATTGTTTGAAATCATTGTACTAATAAGTGAAGCCTTGTATTTTAGCAATCTGGAGAAAAAAAAAATTGTTAAGTGTACACATGCCACACATTTAAATGAGAAGCCAATGACTACAGCGGCAAAATCTGGTTTCATGGAAGTCAACAAAGGCTTCCCACCCATGTCGGCAGAGCCCGAATTTTACCTTATAATCCGGGGCTCTGTCCAGCAGGATCTATTTCAGAATTTGTGACCACCCTTCTGCTTTCTTAGTATCACCACCCAAATTGCCACGTTCCTGGCTGAAATTCACAGCCAGCCCTGCTCTCTGTTTTTTAAGCTCCACTGTTAAGAGCTCTTGAGAACACGGCTCCAACTGGTTGGCATTAGAAGGAAATGAAAATCTTTTAAGTGGCTATTGTGCATGTCATTTGAATGCACTGGATGACATTTCAACACCAGGCAATGCCTCCTCTCCACCACATTCATCAGGAGTGGTTTGGAGTTTTTTTCCTTTCCATATGGGCACTGAGGTTTCCAACAACATTGATCCCTCTGCACATTTTTCTATACTTTGTACAAGCCTCTTTGAACATATTTCTGCAAACAGAAAGGCTTCAATGTGCAACAGTTTTTTAGCAGCTTGCAGGACTGAGCCCTTGATGTGATTATTTGATTATATATGAAGTAACTCTCATGATCAATGAATGATGTCACGGCTATCACTTTGAAGTTAACAGCAAAATTTGCATTGGCTTAAATCTGAGCAGGATCAAGGCATGCAGCATCAGACTGACATCCCTTAATTAATTTCCATATTTCTCTTTAAATGCTCACGCCTCACTCCATGCTTTTCCATGAGACGAGAGAAAAGAGCAAACGTTGGAAACTGATGTTTTCACCAGCAGTAGGCTGTCACACTTAACAAATTGTTCTAGTATATTAGTTTATGTGGGCATCCTGTCCTTGATCAGCTCCCACATTTCCCATGGACAGACGCAGAAGTTGCACACAAAGACGAAATAAATGACTCATACTTTGCAAATGGAAATATAATACTCCATCTGCAGACAAAAGGCCCGATTGAAAGAAGTGCCGCAACACCTTTAGCAAAGGGATTCCTATGGACTTGGGTGGAAAATACATAGCCCATATTTTTTTGCTTCTTTGAATTTCAACTGTAATTTATACTTGCATTAAAAAATCTGGGATATATAAAGGCCATATTGGAAGCACAGTCTTTATCTCTCAAGCTAACAGGAAATGAGAGACAGTAATAGGATTTTAACTAGTTTCTCACTTGCGATGAGTATCCAACACTCGCCGAAGAAAACTTCATTTCAAAATCTTTTCATTCCAAGTCTGCTCAACAGAGAATCAAAATCTGTGTGCGTGTGTGCGAACAATGTTCATTTGTATTCTTAAGTGAGCTTGTTTTATTTTGCCATTTACTAAATGCTGGCGTAAAAATTCCTAAAGCAACGTGACTCTCACAACAAACACAACTGACAGACCCTAGCTGGAGAGCACATGCAAGCACAGACTGCAATTGTTCTGTGGTTATTTGAGAGACAGTGGTCAGGGAAACAGGGGTCATTAATTTCTCTGCATATTTTAAACATTTCCAGAGATGTGCTAAAATGTATTAAAAGCACAGCAGCCGACATCTAAGGCTGAAACATTAGAAAAGCTTCAGAAGGGGATTTCGGTGCAAGAGCGAGAAGGGATGGTTTGGTTTTGACCTCTGCGTTAAGGAAAGCACTTTTAACTCTTTCCGTCTTGCTTTTGCAAAAGATCAGCTGAACGGCTTCTGGAAGAGCCTGTCCCTCACAAACTTGAGGAAACGACCTCGGCTGCAGGTGACAACAGCGTTAGCCCCACGGGCTTCGTGAACAGCAACAAGGGCGCTCCTCTGCACGGGCCCGGCATCACCACCAAACGCGGGAATAAATTGAGTTTGGTTTTAATTCCCCGCCTTCATCCACAGTCTCCTGCGCAGCTCCTGGAAGGCATAAAACAGAACCGAGGCCGGCAGCGAGCTCAGGAGAACTGACAGCGGGGGCGGGGGGAGGGAAGGGACGACGACGGGACACACCAAAGCCCCGTCCCGTCCCTGCCCCGA